ACACACACACACACACACACACACACACACACACACACACACACACACACGTTCTTACGTCAGAGTACACAAAGAATATTAACCAGCTATCCTTGAGAACTGTGCCGCGGAGGGCCAAGCGCGCAGATTAGGAAGAGGAGGAAAGGATGATAAAAATGACAATGCAGAACAGGAAGAGGAGGAGGTGGAGGAAGAAGAAGAGGAGAGAGGAGGAGAGGAAGAGAAGGAGGAGATGAAGAGGAGGAGGTGGAGGAAGAAGAAGAGGAGGAGGAGGAGGAGGAGGAGGAGAAGGAGAGAAGAAGAAGAAGAAGAAGAAGCAGAAAAAGAAGGAGACGAACAAGAATAAGAAGAATAAGAATAAGAAATAAGAGGAAACCGAAAAAGACGACTACAACAACGACGGCGATGAATGCCACAACCCCGTTAGCCACGAGTCGGGCACGGGAGTAAACAAACACAGCTGATAACCTTGGCACGAAGGACGTTCAATCAGACATACTCTGTATGCTTCTCCCTTTACACGAATCGGGAAACTGAGTGAGTGAGTGGGTGTGTGTGTGTGTGAATGAGTGTGTGAGTGTGAATGAGTGTGTGAGTGTGAATGAGTGTGTGAGTGTGAATGAGAGTGGGTGTGAATGAGTGTGAGTGTGAGTGTGAGTGTAAGTGAGTGAGTGAGTGAGTGAGTGAGTGGGTGGGTGAGTGAGTGAGTGTGTGTTTGTGTGAGTGAGTGAGTGAGTGAGTGAGTGGTGTGAGTGGTGAGTGAGTGAGTGGTGAGTGAGTGAGTGAGTTAGTGTGGTGAGTGAGTGAGTGAGTGAGTGTGTGAGCGAGTGAGTGTATGTGAATGAGTGAGTGAGTGAGTGTGAGTGTGTGAGTGAGTGGACGGGAAGAGAGTGTATCAACGCGCGTTTGTGAGATCAGGACAATAAATGAATACATACATACAAAAATATACCCGTGTTTGAGTGAGTGAGTGAGTGCGCGACCAAGAGACAGACCGACAGACAGACAGAAAGAGTGTGTGCTCGCGTGCCTTAGTGTCCACGTGCATAACAAACCCGAGGCACCCACGCACTGCCCTCTCCCGCACCCCTTGCCCTCTCATAAATAAAACTCGCTTACTCACACCAAAAGAGTCTCAAGTATTTTTTCGTCGGCCAATAGTCGATATGTCGATAGTCCAATTAAAGCGATAATAATGGCAGCACGGACTGAAACACACACACAACACCCACTCATACACCACACATACACCACACACCACATCCACACAACCACACACACACACACACACACACACACTTACACACACACACACACAACACCTTTACACACACACACACACCCTTACACACACACACCACACACACACACCACACACACCACACACACACACACACACACCACCATACACACACACACACACACACACAACACACACAACACAACACACAAAACACACACGCACGCACACACGCACAGAACATACCAAAAAATGAAACGACTGACGCTACATATCATGCAAAGGAATCTCGATGTTGATATTGTTTTTTTTCTTTTTTTTGCAATTTCTTCTTTTCTTCTTTCTTCTTCTTTTTTTTTTTGCATTTTCTTCTATCTTCTTTTTTTTTTTTTTTGCATTTTCTTCTTTTATCTTCTTTTTTTTTTTTGCATTTTCTTCTTTTAGCTTCTTTCGTTGCGTGCTGGTAATAAAAAAAATCGGTTCTTGAATGACTTTGATGAACAGTATCACAAGATGGATTCTCCCGCGTTCGCTTTACGAAGGAGACCTTGATAAGGCGTGCCACAATAATCGACCAAAGTTCATGACATGTAGCCTGGATATTACAGCAATAGTGATGATCGCATCTGGGACTGAAAACACACACACCACACACACACACACACACCACACACACACACACACACACACGCACGCATACACGCACAAACACACACACACACAAACATACACACACACACACACACACACATACACATACACACACACACTCTCTCACACACAAACACCCTCACACACACAAACACCCTCACACACACACTCACACCCACACCCTCACCCTCACACACACACCCACACACACACCTCACCCTCACACACACACACACACCCTCACTCACACACACACACACACACACACACACCCTCACCCTCACACACACACACACACACACCCTCACCCTCACACACACACACACCCTCACCCTCACACACCACACACACCCTCACCCTCACATACACACACACCCTCACCCTCACATACACACACACACACACACACCCTCACACCTCACATCACACACAACACACACACACCCTCACCCTCACACCACACACCTCACCCTCACACACACACACACACCCTCACACACACACACACCCTCACCCTCACCCTCACACACACACACCCTCACCCTCACACACACACACACACACACACACACACACACACACACACACACACACACACACACACACACACACACACACACACACCCTCACACACACACCCTCACACCACACACCCTCACACACACACCCTCACACGCACACACCCTCACACCACACACACACACACACACCCTCACACACACACACCCTCACACACACACACACCCTCACACACACACACACCCTCACACACACACACACACCACACCCTCACGCACACGCACACACACACGCACACACACACACACACACCACACACAAAACACACCACACACACACACACACACACGCACACGCACAGACACGCACACACACACACCGAACAGCAGTGGTGAAGTCCCTTCCTTGCCTTAATATCTACGTTTGTATGACCTTGATCCATGTGTTGCGTGACCTTGAAGGAGTAGGTGTCCAATCGCCCGAGGTTAAGAGGTATGGGTAGGGTCGGGGATGGGTTGAGGGGAAGGGGAGGAGGTGGTACTTCTTGGGTAGGGAGGTGAGAGAGGGAGAGGAGGGAGTGGGAGGGAAGAGGAGGGAGTGGGAGGGAAGAGGAGGGAGTGGGAGGGAAGAGGAGGGAGGGGGAGGGAAGAGGAGGGAGTGGGAGGAAAGAGAAGGAGTGGGAGGGAAGAGGAGGGAGAGGGAGAACGAAACGGAGAGGAGGGAGAGGGAGAACGAAACGGAGAGGAGGAGTGGGAGAACGAAACGGAGAGGAGGGAGTGGGAGAACGAACGGAGAGTGGGAGAACGAAACGGAGAGGAGGGGAGTGGGAAGGGAAGAGGAGGAGTGGGGAGGGAAGAGAGGAAGTGGGAGGGAAGAGGAGGGAGTGGAGGGAAGAGGAGGGAGTGGGAGGGAAGAGGAGGAGTGGGAGGGAAGAGGAGGGAGGGGGAGTGGGAGGAAGAGGAGGGAGTGGGAGGAAAGAGGAGGGAGTGGGAGGAAAGAGGAGGAGTGGGAGTGGGAGGGAAGAGGAGAGAGTGGGAGGAAAGAGGAGGGAGTGGAGGAAAGAGGAGGGAGTGGGAGGAAAGAGGAGAGAGTGGGAGGAAAGAGGAGGGAGTGGGAGGGAAGAGGAGAGAGTGGAGGAAAGAGGAGGGAGTGGAGGGAAGAGGAGAGAGTGGGAGGAAAGAGGAGGAGTGGGAGAAGAGGAGAAGAGTGGGAGGGGAAGAAAGAGGAGTGGGAGGGAAGAAGAGGGAGTGGGAGGGAGAGAGGGGGGTAGGCATGTGGGGAAGGAGGAGGAGGGAGTGGAAAGGACGTGGGAGGAAGGAGGAGGGAATGTGGAGGGAGTGAGGAGGATGTGGGAGAAGGAGGAGGGAGTGAGGAGGGATGCGGGAGGAAGGAGGAGGAGTGATGACATGGGAGGAGGGAGGAAAGAGATAGATGTCGGAGTAACGTTCGAATATCGGTACAAGTAAGGTTACAGGTAAAGGTAAGGGTGTGGATATAGGTAAGAAGAAGGGGTAGGAGGCAGGGCAGGAACAGAAACAGGGGCAGGTGTAGGAGCAGGCCAGAGGCAGACGTGAGAAAGGATACATATGATATGGACTCAATAAAAAAAAAAAAAAAAAAAAACACTGGATGTCGTAGAAAGGATAAACATGATATGGACTAAAAAAAAAAAAAAAAAAAAAAATAAATAAAAAAAAAAAATAAAAAAAAAAAACGGAGGATGACGTAACAGGATACGGCGCTCTTGTCTTAGCTGTTTATTCACTCTGCCTATCTACTTATCTACCTACCTTTCTATCTCCCTCTCTGCTTCCCGAAAACCGAATATAACAGGTTCAAACCAAACAATTCACAATTTACAAAGGTGGGCGTGCCGTTAACCACCTGACACACGCAAACACGAGCCTTCCCCCCCCCCCACCCCCCCGCCCACCCCTTACCGACCGAAACACCGAAAACAAACGTACCACAGACAGACCGTACCAAAAATAACGCATCGAACACTGATAATGACGAACGGGGTCGCGGTGGACGAGTCGCCCGAAACCCGATGAAGTACGACCCCCTCCCCGACCGAGACGACAATCTCCCAAGACGACAGAATACCCGGAACGTGAAGGGAGCGTCATGGCATAAGTCTCAGCGTGCGGGGGGGGGGGGGGGGCACATGGCATACGTCTTAGCGTGCGGGGATCGGTCCATCACATTCGCACGTACAATGGACGAGCGAACAATGCGTCGGGTATAAATATAAACGCGTGTATAGACTGGCATTCACGTACACATGCATATCCACTGCCACAATGCCCGCACAGATCACACGCGGAATTAACTGCCAATATTGATTCCTCTGGCACTCCTTGTCTGGAGTGCCTGCGAGGCGGAGAGTGGCACACTTCGCCGAAGACATGTATCATAATTTTTTTTACTGTCAATACGCTCGAGATACATGAGCGAATGGCGTGCTACAAGGCCAAAATCGACAAAGAATATCACAAATAAAATAGGATAAAATGATTAATGCACTACTAAACTATAACTGCCAGCCTCGAAGGAAGGTCGCAGCGCAATAAGGGGAGCGACGACTCAC